TCATGCAGAACCAAATTAACAGCTGAATGGTCGGGTGCTAAGGAGGGAATAATGTCACATTTGGATGTTATCTGTTCTAAATTCTCTGATATAATGAAATAATCCAAACGGCTTTGCATAAATGGATTCCCTTGTCTATAAGTATATTGTTTTTTATCTTTATTTTTATTTCTCCATACATCTCTTAATTTAAATTCATCCATGAATTCTTCTAATTTGCTACTGAATTTTGATTGCTTCTTTGTAACTTGTCCAAAATAATCTAAGTTCTTGTCTCTAATAACATTAAAATCACCTCCAAGAACTACTGGGTTCCCTTCTGGATTGTTTCTATACAACAACTCCCTTAAATCCATTAAACATTTTATTTGCTCCCCTTCGTTATTTCCAGTAGGAAAATAAACATTTCCTAGCAACATCTTCTGACCTTGTATATTACATCTAATCAATAATATCTTCCATTTATGTCTGCACAAGTGTCACTAATTTCAATGTCTAACTTACTATTTATTAATACCAAAACTCCTCTACTGTGGCTTGTACCATGACTAAAGATACAATTCCCGCCCCACTCCAATTGCCATTTCTTTTCGATATCAGGTGTACTGTATGTTTCTTGTAAGTATATTATATCTATAGACTTTGTCCTAAACCAATTAAACATTTTTTCTCGTTTGCTTCTATCTCTAATTCCCCTCACGTTTAGTGTGAGATAGTTACATGAAAACAAGTTCCCTTTATTATCCATCTTTTTGTTGTTGAAATAAACCCTTATCTATATATGAGCTGGGACCCTCTATAAATTCCGACCTTGCAGATAAAGGGATCATCTCTTGGCAAATTAATATTTTTAATGACACAACTTCACGACCCTCTTCCCTACCAGAAAGGAAACTAAGAAAGAAAAAGAATATGTATAAATACATGAGACTACCACAAATATTCGAGAACCCACATTTGAAAAAAAGAAACATAAGATGACAACATGAAACAGACAAATAACAGAGTTCGCGTGGCGAATCATACATAATGATTAACCAGACTGCCTTTGCAAACGTTGCATGACAGTCCCCTCCCCCCCCTCTCCCCTCTCCCCTAATTTAGCTTTCCTACTTATTTGTCATACAGCCTGCAATTGAAAATTATGCACTGTCTGACCTTTGTTTTTTACATTTCCTTGTTAAAAAAAAATTAAAACTAATATCTTCCTACAAATCTACTACATCATGGTCTTTTTCCATGTAAAGGTTAATCAAAAAAAAAAAAAAAAAAAAAAAAAAAGAAGGATAAACCACCCTCTGTGCTATCTCCTTCTCAATTCAAAACTTTCCTATCCTGCCTTCATTGTATAACACTTACAATTCAAAGACTATGCCATATCTCCCCTTCTTTCTACCTTCAACAGTTCTCAAAACAAATACCTTACTACAGCTCGACTGCATTGTAACTCATTAACATTTGGATTAAGGTAGTGTTCTGAAACTCCTGCAAGTAAAATTGCATTGAGAAACTACTTCTCTTTTAACATTTGCAGCAACACAGCAAAAAAAAAAAAAAAAAAAAAAAAAAGAAAATGGTGGGAGTTTGTATATCGTGTATCGCAGACAACACCGATATTTGCTTTTAAAGAAATTGGATTCTTCCTCAAGAGATCCTATTTGTTTATAAGCTTTTTAATGCAAGAGGTCTTAGATGAATCTCAATCGAAAAGCCACATGTTCTGTGAGAGACAAATAAGTTTAACAGTGTTTGTCAATGATGCTTTTTTTTGGGGGGGGGGGGCATTTTAAAGAAAGTTATGTTTTAGACCGTTATGTTATCAACGATGTTTTTTTTATATAAAACTGGCTATTATCCTTTTGATCAGTTTTTTCCGAGAGGTATAATGAGACTACGATGAAATGTCGTTCAAAATTTGATATTAGATCAGATGTAGTTTCATTACAAAAATTTATGCTAATGACCCCCACCTCCACTAATATAAAGACCAAAGAGCTATGCTGCAGGTTTATGTATACAGAAGTTTTGATCGGTCTGTTGTCGGTCTGTTGTCGGTCTTTGTCGGTGTAGTATTTAGCATGGAGAGAAAAGATGAGATAGGGAGGGGGTTAGAGAGAGAGAGAGAGAGAGAGAGAGAGAAAACGAGAGAGAATGAGAGGTTAAGGCAAAATATGAGGGAGAAAAATAGTTAAAGTAAGGAATAGGATGACCATTATAATATCAATCAACCCACAAACAGGTGAACCTCGCAGAGAAGAATCGTTTCCAAAATGGCGTCCCTGATACAGAAGATACCTCTGATGGTGCTTCTCCTGACCGGCTTCGTTTGGCTTTCTGAAGGTCAGTTCTGCACGAAATGTCCCGATTATTGGATGAAGGTCGGTGAATATTGCTACCAATACTTCGGCAATAAAAGGACATGTCACGACGCTGAGAACATTTGTAATCGAATTGGAGGAGACCTGCCAAGCATCCGAAACGAGGCGGAAGGTAACACCATCTACCAGCTATGGAAGGGTCTCGTTAATCATCCCACTCAAAAGGAATCTGTAAGTACAACGTGCTTCAGTGGTGGACCCAATATTCTCTGGTGTTGGATGGGGTTGGTGTTGGGGAAGGGGGGGGGGGGGGAGTGTCACAACTGTGAACAAATCTGTGACACACAATCAATTTTGATATACACAGGACATATTGTGTTGTAAGTAGTTACCACTCCTTTACAAGTAAAACATTATTATAAAAAACATCGCGGCTTTACTCATTAAACTACACCATCTCTCCTAAACAGGCATACTGGATCGGTCTGCGTGATACCAACCAGGAAAACAAGTTTGAATGGACAGATGGCACCCCTCTACAATACATTAACTGGCAGCCTGGACAGCCCGACAACGGGTATGGCGTCGAGGACTGTGTTGAAATCTGGAATGCTGGCACCAATGACTACGAACGACAGCGCTGGAATGATAGGGATTGCAATCACGTTCGAGCCTTCTTTTGCCGCAAGCTGCTCAACTGAACGTCAGAGATCCAATGTCGATTATGACGAAGGGGGGGGGGGTAATAGAAGGACAACCTTTTGTTTTAGTTTCCCTTTTTAATCTTATCTGCTAGTTCAGGCGCAAGCTAGTCAGTTTTAGGTAAAATTGTTGACGGGAACCATATGAATTTTGAATTATTTTGATCGTCAGCTCTACATTAGACCTATGGTCTCTATAAAATTAAAAAAATGCTGCATTTGATCTCTACACGTGCTACACGCGCCTGACTCGAAATACTTTCATTTATCCATAATTTCCATCTGATCACAACTTTTAGTTTTTGTTCTCTAAAAAAAGATACCCTACAGAAACAAACATAGAACATTTTTGGATAATTTCGGCTAACGCGCCCCGCCGCAAAATCCGACGTTTCAGTAAAACCTTTCATTTTTTATTTGAAGCACTTCTCTACTTTATCAAATTAAAGTTGCCCTTTTTGAGGTTTACATCGAAACACTCGATTCAGTTTTGATTAGCATTTGAAAGCAAAACATATTTCAGGCTTTCAGCTGGCTTTCAGCTGGCCATTAACCAGACAAGTCTTTAGTATATAACCTAACTTAAAATTATCATCATACATTAGTGCTTTATTCATTGTTTTTATCTGCTTATTGTACCGTATTGATAAAGCCTATACCAGGGACTTTAGCAAAATCAAATCAAATATTTAGAAGACTAACAATGATATCATCATATGCATTAAATTATTTCTGTGTTTTCTGTATCGTACTTAGTACGTAAAGATGAGAATGTGATGCAGAGGATAGAATATTAAACATAGTACTGAAGATTTTGAAAAAAGAAGAAAGAAAGAGAGAGAGGGGGAGAGAGAGAAAGAGAGAGAGCATAACTGTGAGTGGTATCTGAAAAATAAAGAGCGGTTATAATTATGTTAAGGATTGTCGATTACTAGGCCTACACAACGACATTAACTTTTGTCTCACAAAATAATATTCATTCATATTGTGCCCTTGCTACTGGATACAGCGTTTCCTTAAAACAAAATTATTAAAAAACACGCACACACACTAGCTCTCTCTCTCTACCTCTCTGTCTTTGTCTGTCTATGTCTGTATTTCTCTTTGCCTCTTCTCTCTATTCTAATAACATTTCATCTATCGGTTTTATTCTCCCCTCTTCCACCCCCCCTCTCTCTCTCTCTCTCCCTCTGTCTCTCTCTGTCTTTGTCTCTCTCTTTCTTTCTCTCTCTCTCTCTCTCTCTCTCTCTCTCTCTCTCTCTCTTCCCCCTCTCTCTCTCTACACTCTCTCAATTTGCCACCAACAGCCAAAATAAAAGTGAATAGGAGAGGAGACATAATTTGACAGTGAAGGTGAAATTCATCTCAAAATATGCTTTGAATGTGGTATATAGAGCCTTCCCCCATCCCAGGTTATCATCCTACCTGCACATAAGGCAGCACACCAACCGCTTCCTCGCGAGAAAACTTAAGTTTCTAAGAATATCCGAGACATGTTTATATCGGTAGAGTGGATATAAGAACATGTAATTCGGCAGCATAGGAATGAATTAGTTGCTTGGAAGCCAACAGGAACATGTGAGAGAGAAGAGCAAAAAGCGTCTTTGAAGTAGTTGTTACGTCATCAATACGTTTTGCGCTATGATGACGTGTGTGCAAATATCGAGCCGTGATTGGCTACAAGTTTGAGCCTCTGAAAATGTTCCTTTTTTACTTTGGTTTTGTCCTCAACATGCTATGTTATTATTTTCTCCTGGTGTGATTGGCGGTCAGGTAGTGTGCGCGTGATGTTGTTTCTTCATATAAACCATAACAATTTTCCTTTTATTTCTGAGATGTTGATATTCAGACAAGAAGCGTCAATTCCAGTGGCAAAAATATTTTCGCATGCCTTTGCCTTTATGGATAGTATGTAGATAAGAAAGTTCAAAGCTTCGAGCGCAAAAACACCATGATATCTTATCTTATAAGGTCACCTGAATAAAGAAGAACGTTTTCTCACTGGGCGTGAATGTCAGTGTCGAATGTTGTTCGAAACGTCATTATTTTGCTGAGATCTATACGCGTCGACATGTGTATGAATATTTCTTGTAAGTTTAGTTACAGATTTGTTTTTTGTTTTTTAATGTTTTTACGCTGTATTCTTGTTCAATGTGTCGTTTTTTTGTATTCCCTGCATCTACCAATACTTAGGTGTTGTCCTGAGTTTTGTGCAAGTTCGATCACTAAAGTGATGTTAAAAAATATCAATCTGACAGCCGAACCGATGGATTGGTTTAGATATTGAAAATGGTGGGAGTTTGTACATGTATATCGTGTATCGCAGACAACACCGATATTTGCTTTAACAAAAATTGGATTCTTCCCCAAGAGATCCTATTTGTTTATAAGCTTTTTAATGCAAGAGGTCTTAGATGAATCTCAATCGAAAAGCCACATGTTATGTGAGAGACAAATAAGTTTAACAGTATTAATTGTCAATGATGCTTTTTTTTTGGGGGGGGGGGGAGGGGGGGGGGGGGCTGTTACACCCACAAATGTAATAGCGCCCACAAATGTAATAACACTTTACCCACAAATGTAATAACACCCACAAATGTAATGACACTTTACCCACAAATGTAATAATTTCACCCACAAATGTAATAACCACTTTACCCACAAATGTAATAATTTCGAATCACCCACAAATGTAATAATGACTTTACCCACAATGTAATAAATTTTGAAGTGATATTTTGTCGAATTTGTTCAAAACTAAAACCCATGGGTATAGCGCACAGTCTTTACTCCAGACCAGGTTATTTCAAAAAAATAAAAAATCTTCAAATCTAAGACCCCATAATCCTTTTCCTGTGGAATAACATGAGAATCGAGCGTAGTCTTTCCTCCAGACACGGTTATTCAAAAGTAAAAAAAAGAAAGAAAAAAAACTTTTAAAATAAGACCCCACCATCTTCCGAACTAAGACCCGGTAATAAAGCATGGGTTTAGAGCGTAGTCTTTACTTCAGACTCGGTTATTTAAACAAAAATGAAAAATCTTCAAACTAAGACCTCACCATCTCATTCCTGTGGAATAACATGGGTATAGAGCGTAGTCTTTCCTCCAGACCTGGTTATTTCAAAAGAAATAGAAATTTAAACAAATCTTCGAAATTAAGACCCACCATCTTATTCCTCTTTTTTTCATTTAAAAATAAATTAAATTATTACATATGTGGATACAACACGTCACAAATAAATGATTGGTCGGCGGTCACACGAACTGACGAATCAGTAAAAGTTCCGTATATATAACACACAGAGGAGGGACCGATTCGATGGTTCGTTGACCGTCGACGATTTTTTGATCATGTAAATATTCTAACGCCCACAAATATCCTGGAATTCAATGTTCGTAGAAAAAAAAGTAATCGAATGAGTGACCTTAAATGTATTAAAACATCGGTTCCCGACCAAGCGAAAATTGAGAAGTTTTGATCGGTCTGTTGTCGATCTGTTGTAGGTCTTGGCGGTGCGACTATAGTATTAGCATGAAGAGAAAAGATGAGATAGGGAGGGGATAGATAGAGAGAGAGGGAGAGAGAGAGAGAGAGAGAGAGAGAGAGAGGGAGGGAGGGAGGAAGGGAGAGAGAGAGAGAGAGAGATAGAGAGAGAGAGAGAGAAGAGCACAAAACGTCTTTGAAGAAGTTTACGTCATCAATAAGTTTTGCGCTATGATGACGTATGTGCAAGTATCGAGCTGTGATTGGCTACAAGTTTGAGCCTATGAAAATGCTCCTTTTTTCTATTGTTTTGCCCTTAACATATTTTGTTATTATTTGCGCCTGCTGTGATTGGCGGTCAGGTAGAGTGCACGTGATGTTGTTTCTTCATATAAACCGTAACAAATTTTCTTTTATTTCTGAGATGTTGATATTCAGGCGAGAAGCGTCAATCCCAGCGGCAAAAATGTTCTCGTATGTCTATGAACATTACGTAGATAAGAAAGTCCATGCTTTGTGCGCAAAAGTACCATGATATCTTATCTTATAGCGTCATCTGAATAAAGAAGAACGTTTTCTCACGGGGCGTGAATGTCATTGTCGAATGTTGTTCAAAACGTCATTATTTTGCTGAGGTCCTACGCGTCGACATCTGTCTGAATATTTCTTGTAAGTTAAGTTACAGATTCTATGTTTTTGATGTTTTTTATGCTGTATTCTTGTTCAATGTGTCGTTTTTTGTATTCCCTGCATCTACCAATACTTAGGTGTTGTCCTGGGCTTTGTGCACGTTCGATCACTAAAGTGATGTTTAAAAGTATCGAGATGACAGCCGAGGGGTATTTGAGAGTACGATGAAATGTCGTTCAAAATTTAATAGTAGATCAGATGTAGTTTCATTACAAAATGCTGTGCTAATGACCCCCACCAATATACAAACCAAAGAGCTATGCTGCAGGTTTATATTGGCTATCGGTGTTGATGCGGGAAACGGACAGGATGGAATCTGGTTGCTTTCAGGGTCGGTGCGGGATCGTTGGTTGTTGAGCCTGCATCGCTAAACGACTTGCGAAATTTGAGAAGTTTTGATCGGTCCGTTGTCGACCTGTTGTAGGTCTTGACGGTGTGATTGTAGTATGAGTACGGAGGGAAAAGATGAGATAGGTAGGGAGATAGATAGCGAGAGAGAAAGAGAGAGAGAGAGAGAGAGAGAGAGAGAGAGAGGGGGAGAGAGAAAGAGAGAGAGGGAGAGAGAATGAGAGGTTAAGGCAAAATATGAGGGAGAAAAATAGTGAAAGTAAGGAATAGGATGACCATTATATATCAATTAACCCATTAACAGGTGAACCTCGCAGAGAAGAAGCGTTTCCAAAATGGCGTCCATGATACAGAAGATACCTCTGATGGTGCTTCTCCTGACCGGCTTCATTTGGCTTTCTGAAGGCGAGGCCTGCACGAAATGCACGAAATGTTGTCCCCAGTATTGGATGAGGGTCGGTGAATATTGCTACCAATACTTCGGCAATAAAATGAAATTTCATGATGCTGAAAACATTTGTAATCGATTCGGAGGAAACCTGCCAAGCATCCGAAACGAGGAGGAAAGTAACACCATCTACCAGCTATGGAAAGGATTCGTTGATGATTCCACTATAGTTTTCTCCGTAAGTATACAACATGATACGTACAGTGCATCCATGCACAATGGCGTATCCAATATTCTCTGGTGGTGGATCGGGTTGAGGGGGGGGGGGGGGGGGGGGGGGGGGGGGGTGAGTGTCACAACTCTGAAAAGTCGGTGACAAGCAAGGGGAAGAAAAAATCAATGCAATTTTAATATACAGAGCTCAGTGAAGTATATACACTGGACATATTGTTGCAAGTAGTTACCATTCCTTTATATTACAAGTAAAACATCAGAACACAAATCGCGGCCGTTTTTCTTTGCAGTGGTTCACCACTTCACCGCATCATATAAGAACGAGTCGTACTCAATGTTTACCATATCTCCTGACAGGCATACTGGATCGGTCTCCGTGATACCATCCAGGTAAACAAGTATGAATGGACAGATGGCACCCCTGTACACTACTATAACTGGTATCCTGCAGAGCCCAACAGCTCTGACGAAGACTGTGTTGAAGTCGTAAATGCTGGCTACAATGATGACGAACGACAGCAATGGAATGATGCCCTATGCGATCAAGTTCGAAGCTTCTTCTGCCGCAAGCCCCTCAACTGAACGTCAGAGATCCAACGTCGATTATAATGAAGGGGGGGGGGGGGGGGGGTAGAAGGGCAAACTTTTGTTTTAGGTTCCTTTGTAATCTTATCTGCTATTTCAGGCGAAAGCTAGTCAGTTTAAGGTAAAATTGTTGACGGGAACTATATGAATTTTGAATTATTTTGATCGTCAGCTCTACATTAGACCTATGGTCTCTATAAAATAAAAAAAAAATGCTGCATTTGATCTCTACACGTGCTACACGCGCCTGACTCGAAATACTTTCATTTATCCATAATTTCCATCTGATCACAACTTTTAGTTTTTGTTCTCTAAAAAAAGATACCCTACAGAAAGAAACATAGAACATTTTTGGATAATTTCGGCTAACGCGCCCCGCCGCAAAATCCGACGTTTCAGTAAAACCTTTCATTTTTTATTTGAAGCACTTCTCTACTTTATCAAATTAAAGTTGCCCTTTTTGAGGTTTACATCGAAACACTCGATTTCAGTTCTGATTAGCATTTGAAAGCAAAACATATTTCAGGCTTTCAGCTGGCTTTCAGCTGGCCATTAACCAGACAAGTTGAATTTAGTATATAACCTAACTTAAAATTATCATCATACATTAGTGCTTTATTCATTGTTTTTATCTGCTTATTGTACCGTATTGATAAAGCCTATACCAGGGACTTTAGCAAAATCAAATCAAATATTTAGAAGACTAACAATGATATCATCATATGCATTAAATTATTTCTGTGTTTTCTGTATCGTACTTAGTACGTAAAGATGAGAATGTGATGCAGAGGATAGAATATTAAACATAGTACTGAAGATTTTGAAAAAAGAAGAAAGAAAGAGAGAGAGGGAGAGAGAGAGAGAGAGAGAGAGAGAGAGAGAGAGAGCATAAGTGTGAGTGGTATCTGAAAAATAAAGAGCAGTCATAATTATTTTAAGGATTGTTGATTACTAGGCTTACACAACGACATTAACTTTTGTCTCACAAAATAATATTCATTCACATTGTGCCCTTGCTACTGGATACAGCGTTTCCTTAAAACAAAATTATTAAAAAACACGCACACACACTATCTCTCTCTCTCTCTACCTCTCTGTCTTTGTCTGTCTATGTCTGTACGTCTCTTTGCCTCTTCTCTCTATTCTAATAACATTTCATCTATCGGTTTTATTCTCCCCTCTTCCACCCCCCTCTCTCTCTCTCTCTCTCTCTCCCTCTGTCTCTCTCTGTCTTTGTCTCTCTCTATTTCTCTCTCTCTCTCTCCCCCCCTCTCTCTCTACACTCTCTCAATTTGCCACTGACAGCCAAAATAAAAGTGAATAGGAGAGGAGACATAATTTGACAGTGAAGGTGAAATTCATCTCAAAATATGCTTTGAATGTGGTATATAGAGCCTTCCCCCACCCCAGGTTATCATCCTACCTGCACATAAGGCAGCATACCAACCGCTTCCTAGCGAGAAAACTTAAGTTTCTAAGAATATCCGAGACATGTTTATATCGGTAGAGTGGATATAAGAACATGTAATTCGGCAGCATAGGAATGAATTAGTTGCTTGGAAGCCAAAAGGAACATGAGAGAGAGAAGAGCAAAAATCGTCTTTGAAGTAGTTGTTATGTCGTCAATACGTTTTGCGCTATGATGACGTGTGTGCAAATATCGAGCCGTGATTGGCTACAAGTTTTAGCCTCTGAAAATGTTCCTTTTTTTTCTATTGTTTTGTCCTCAACATGCTATGTTATTATTTTCGCCTGCTGTGATTGGCGGTCAGGTAGTGTGCACGTGATGTTGTTTCTTCATATAAACCGTAACAAATTTTCTTTTATTTCTGAGATGTTGATATTCAGGCAAGAAGCGTCAATTCCAGTGGCAAAAATGTTTAATTTAATACGTAGATAAAAGAGTCCATGCTTCGTGCGCAAAAATCCCGTGGTATCTTATCTTATGGGGTCACCTGAATAAAGAAGAACGCTTTCTCACGGAGCATCAATGTCAGTGTCGAATGTAGTTCGAAACGTCATTATTTTCAATCATTCATTGAATTCCCCCCCGGTCCCCAACTTAATTTTTTTTGTCTGTGTGCCCATGCCTTGAGCCATGATGCATGGTCGTAAAGAGGATTTTTTTTTATGTTGGGGGCCGGGGGAAATGCAATGAATTATTGAAAATTTATTGCATTTTCTTTGTTTTTTTTAATTTGTGGGAACTGCCCCCTACCCTAGCCCCCGCTGCATACAGTCATGGTTCAGTGGCCAAGCAATGGCCTTGTAACTGTGAGGCCCCAGGATCAAAACTGTGTCACTGTGCTATATTAGTGCCCTTTTGTGGGGCATTCATCCTCATTACTGTCATTTATGAAGAATGGATAAGCTTGAGAGCAAAAACCTGTTGAGATCAAAGGAGACCCCTGCCGTGAAAAGTGTATCGACCAAATACGGAAGCATCGTCTGCAAACTTCAAGATGATGCATACAAGATCATCCGGAGCCCGGATGATCTCTTTGAACTCGGAGTTGACAATGTCCAATACGGCGATTTTAAGCTCCATTTCCTTGCCTAGTATGTTTCACTCAATTTTAAGGCTATGTTAGATTCCCGAATATTTCATTATGTTCGATATTAACGAAGACATTTATTTGTTTGATATTGACTCTTTTGAATTAACCCCATTCGAATTTGATAACAGATTATGTTCAAAGTTCCCAAAAGCTTTTACGATTTCTCATATAAATATTAGATCTTTAAATAAGAATATTGATGCCTTAAGATTATTGTATGAAGAATGCATAAAATCAAAATTTCATTTAATTGGATTGTCTGAAGTCTGGAATGCATCTTGTGCAGATATCCTTGGGATAGATGGTTATACTTTGGAAGTGAATTGCCGGGACCCTGGTTTAAGGGGAGGAGGTGTTGGAGTCTATGTTCATTCTTCTTTGAAATATAAAATGTTAAAATATGATATTGACTTTGCTGAATCACTATGGCTTGAGGTTCAGATCGGTGATCGTTCCGTTGTTGTAGGTGTCATTTATAGAAAACCAAACACTGATATTTTCCAGTTTCAAGGGAGTTTATTGTCTGTGTTAGAAAGGATTAAAGTTGATAAAAAGTTGTGTATTTTAATGGGTGATTTCAATATTGATTTGTATAATCCCAGCGTAAATGCTGAAATGTTAGTTACTTCCTTAGTGTGTTTGGGGATACATCAATTAATTAAGACCCTTACGAGGGTAACACCCATGTCAGGTTCCTTAATTGATCATATTTACACAAATATGGGTGCAGATCGCATATGTGCTGGTACAATTGTAACTGACGTTTCTGATCATTTCCCTATATTTGCTATTTTTGAAGATAGCTCAGTAAAATTACAACCACAAGGAGAAGTACGATATAGAAGTTATAAAAACTATGAGAAAGAACAGTTTTGGGATAGTCTACTCTTGGAATCATGGGAAAATGTATATGAATGTACTGATGTTAATAAAGCATATGATATATTTGTACAATCATTCATAGGTATATGTGATCAATATGCTCCGATTGTTCATCGTCACTCTTCCAGGAGGAAAAATGATAAACCATGGCTGACTAGAGCTATTAAGAAGTCAATTAAAAAGAAACATAAATTGTATGGTAAAGTATTAAAATCAAACTATAGTGAAGATAATTTGAAAAAATATAGGACGTATAGAAATGTTTAACTACAGTTTTGAGGAATGCGAAGAGGAAATATTATAGTGATGTATTTGAAATGTATAAAGGCGACACAGCGCAAACATGGAAGTCAATAAATAAGCTATTGAAGAGTGGAAACAGTAAAGTAAAAACGTCACATGTAGATAAGCTCTGTGTTGATGATAATGGTAGTAAGAAAGTTGTAACCTCAGGGAAAGAAATATCAGAAGGCTTTAATGATTTTTTTGTGAACGTTGGGCCTAACCTTGCTAAATCTATTAATGGTAATGTTGACGATGTTATTACATTTAAAGGTTATCTTAGTGATGGAATAACTGACTCCATGTTTTGGGAACCAGTTACTCATTATGAGGTACGGGACTATTTATTAACTTTAAATGTAAAGAAAGCTTGCGGCTTTGATGATATTCCAGCCCGATTACTGAAGGATGCTGCTGAAGTAATTGCAAAACCACTATCTTATATTTATAATCAGTCATTATTGAACGGTGTGTTCCCAGATGCAATGAAAGTAGCCAAAGTTACACCAATTTTTAAAAAGGGAGATAAAAATGTCCCAGGCAATTACAGACCTATTTCAGTTTTGCCTCTTTTGGCCAAAATATTTGAGAAATTAGTAAACAAGAGGCTACTTGATTATTTTGAAAGAAATGATGTCTTGTATAAGCACCAGTATGGCTTTCGTAAACATTATAGTACTAAGTTGTCTTTAATTAATTTGGTTAATGATGTGCTTAAATCACTGGATAAGGGCAGTGTAACACTAGGTGTATTCCTAGATTTCCAGAAAGCTTTTGATACAATTGATCACGCAATATTGGCTGGAAAATTAGAACATTATGGAATAAGGGGCCTTCCTCTCCAGTGGTTTAAAGATTATCTTTGTAATAGATTTCAGTTTGTGAACTATGATGGACATAGCTCATTGAAGCAGATAATAACATGTGGTGTTCCTCAGGGTTCTGTGCTGGGACCTACACTGTTTTTGTTGTACATAAACGATTTACCAAACTCAACAAATTATTTTAATTTTAGACTTTTTGCCGATGATTCTAACTTGTTTCATACGTTTCCACCGAGACAGAATTCAATTGATATGGATAATATAGTTAATATGCATCTTGATAAGGTGACCATATGGTGTAAGGTGAATAAACTTACAGTCAATCTATTAAAGACTAATTATTTGTTAATAAGAGGGAGTAGGCAATCAGTAGTGACTCAAGGGGTGCTAAAAATAGCAGAGACTGAAATAACCCAGGTTGATGTTGCATCATTTGTAGGAATTTATATAGATCAACACTTGACGTGGAAACCTCATATCCAAAGGGTTAATAAGTTTATTAGGAAAAGGGTTGGTGTTTTATATAGATTAAGACAGTTTGTGCCAAGGCGTGTTTTGTTGTTACTGTATAAGACGTTAATCCAACCGCATATGACCTACGGAATTGAGGTTTGGGGAAGTAATTATGAAATGAACATGAAGTGTTTATTATTAAGCCAAAAGATGGCACTAAGAGTAATAACGTTTAGTCCAATTAGGACTCATTCACAACCGATATTCCAGGAGCTAAAATTATTGAATGTGTATCAACTCCATAAATTATCTGTTTGTGTTTTTATGTATCAATTATTGAATGATAAATTGCCACAGTCTCTAATTCAGTATTGCTGTTTCATAGAGCACAACTATGAAACTAGACAAAGAGAAAGTAAGAAGTTAAGTGTGCCGAAAGTAAGGACAACGCAAGGTAAATTTTCAATGTCATTCAGAGGCACATGCTATTGGAATGATCTACCCCTTTCTGTAAGGGAGAAAGCATCAGTGTCTTGCTTTCGTAGAACTCTTATATCACAAATGTTAATAGAATAGTTGTTTATAACTTAGAACCAAGGCTCTTGCCTTTTTGTAAATGTTTTGTTATATAATTCTTCATCTTTTATTTAGTGTAAAATACCATAGCTTTGTAAATAAGCACAGAACACATTTACCATAGATGTAGAATAGTTTGTAGCTTAGGTATG